CGAGCACGCGAGACGTTCTAGCGTTTGTTATAGAGCGACTGTTGAGATTAAGTGTATCGGTAAAGTTGTATTCAGAAAGAATAAACCAGTTTTATTTAAGAGAGGACTTGTGTCGCTAAAGTTTCGTCGGAACAAATTTACGGAAAATCAATTAACAAACGGAGACGTAACACTATATAAGAAATTAGTAATCACTGCTTTCATCACTGTTTTTGGTCCACTCTTTACACTGATTATTATATAAGATGCAAACATATAATTACTCTACATCAGTTCCCAAACTGTGATTCATGAAATGTTTTAGGGATTCTTGGGAAAAACTCCATAACGGTGGAAGAAAAAGTGTTTGTGTGCCAAAATTCAATGTTACGGGAAGATAACAACTGGCACTGTTTTCACAAAGTATGAAGGAATCGGCAGACATTGCAGACACAATTAATTTGACATATGCATAAATAAATAATTAATTAAATGTAATTATGGAAATACAAGCCTAATAAACCCAAAACTGGCACAACAGACATCTATTTTGGCACCTTGAGGGCTGGAGCCAAGATCATTGTAGTCAATGTATCTGTAGTAGCAATGCAGTTATTCAGTTAGTCAGTACTCGGTCACTGTCAGTGGTATGTTGTTTTGCTCCAGTGAGACATGAGTGAACATTCTCATTTACAAGTTTGTTCACTTGTTAGTATTCTCAGTGTGTTATATTTTACTTGAACTGTTTTACACCCAATAATGGAATAGTGGCTGAAAACAGGAAGTGTAAAGACACAAGAAAACAAACAGTCGACATCTGGTACTGTTTCATTAGGTCCAAAATGTGAAAAATCTAATTCAACTGATCAAGATGGTCGAGGAAAGTCATTTACTCAGAAAAGAATACATGACAATCATTGATCATCAAGAGTGTCCAAAACCATGGTGTGTAAGTTGTGGCGATATTCTAGCAAACAGCAGCTTCAAACTTTCTCTATTTTGGGACAATTTAGAAACTAGGCACCCACACAACTCCACAAGCCTGTTGATTTTTTCAAGTGAAAATCAGTCAAATATGAAATTACCAGTTTTGTATCCAAAGCAAGTTCGAGAACAAAAAATGCACTTCAAGCATCATACTGAGTTAGCTAAAGCAAAAGCTTCAGAAGCCCATACCATAGAAGGAAGCTTGATTGGTCCATGTGTAAAAAAGACGTAGTTCAGTTCAGTGTATCTTCGGAGAAAAGACTGCAAAAAGGATTGACACAATACGTTTGTCCATACTTGACATGTCATGGAGAATTAATGACATGTGAAGTAATATAGACACCACAATTGTAGAGAAAGAGAAAAATAGTCCATATTATACTACACTTTTGGTTGAATCAATTGATGTTGCTAATCTATCTATTTTGCTAGTGTTAGTACATTATGTGAATGAAGATACAGTTGAAGGATACTTGTTGTTTTGCTGTCCACTAAAAGAATGAATGACTGGAGAAGATATCTTCAATCTGACAAATGCATATTTTCAAGAAACTGATTGGTCTCGTTGCCTAGGCATCTGCACTGATGGGGCCATATCAATGATGGGGAAGTATACCGGAGTTGTAGCTCAAACAAAAAAGGTTGCATCAAACATTTCAGGGAATCATTGCAGTATCCATAGACAAGCTTTTGCACCAAAATGCATGCCTAAAGAACTGAAGGGAGTGCTGGACAATGAATTGAAAATAGTGAATTTCATAAAATTATGGCCAGCAAATTCCAGAATATTTCAGGCACTTTGTGAAGAAATTGGTGGTGTACACAATTGCTTGTTGACCTATAACAATGTTAGATGGCTTTCATGGGCAAAATTCTTGTGCACTCCTTTGAGATTAGAGCAGAAATCGTAATTTTTTCAACAGCCACCCCTTCCATCTCATCAGCTGTATGGAAAATCATGTCTGGCTCCAAAGTGTAGCTTATTTTGCAGACATATATCTCTTTAAGGCCTCAGTATAACAATTTTCAATGTGGAAGACCAAACTGAATCTACGGTAAAGAAGTTGCAGTTCTGGAAAGGTGTTTGGAAAACAACCACACCGAGTGTTTCAGTGTTTCACTTTGGTTGGATCAGTTCACTCAAACCAACATAACTGCGAACCTAAAAGGACTTTGCACAACGTTCAGGGAATACTTTCCAGCTACGTCAGACAATAATTACAGGATTTGCAACGCCTCTGAAGATACCACTTTCTCTTCACAGATGTTGAGCACGGAGGAAAAAGAGAAATTGATCGATATCTCCTGTAATTATAAACTGAAAAGGAGTTTCAGAAGTCTGTCACTGATCAACTTTTGGCTGAGTTTAAGAAACGAATACCCTCTGTTGGCAGAAAAAGCTACTGCTGTTTTGTTGCCGTTTTCAACAACATACTTATTTGAGAAAGCACTTTCCTTGTATGCACAACTAAAAAAACAAATACAGAAGCAGAATCAATGCTCAACCAGATCTGAGACTTTATCTTTCTTCAGTGATTCTGGACTTCCAAGAACTGTGCAGATCAAAGCAAGTGCGTCCATCACACTGGGTAGATTATAACTTCAAGACTCTTCGTGAGAAATGAAATGGTAAAGGGGGCTATTTTTTGCTGTTTTTAAAATTAAATAGACTGCTAGTGTTCTTTTTCAAATTACGATGAATATGTTTAGGCTTAATCAAACTGATATGAGTTACGAAAGTGAAGTATTGGAAGAGTTTGGCTGTTTTCTTAATGTAATAAAATTAATAACGTAATGATAACTAATAATATAATAATAAATTGTGTGTAATAAAAGTGTCATAAGAAAAACAACATTGATATTTCCAATATCACTGTTTTTATAATTTATACTCAACAAAATATACTCCCTGGAAAATATTTATTTTTAGGAGGGGTTCGCAAGATTTGGCATTTTCATGAAAGTTTGTTTGTTTGTAATTACACACAAAGATACACAATGGGCTATTGAAACCCAGCTTATAGCATTATAAATCCGCAGACATATCGCTGTGCCACTGGGAAGGAGGGGTTCATGAAAGGGGTTCACAGGATGTTAAAGTTTGTGAACCACTGCTCTAGTAGTAAATGGTTTATAAATAATGTAATGCAAGGGTTAAGAATAACTAACTGTGCATGGTGTTCGAAACAATAGTGTGTGTGATTTTTTAAAAAACATAAACACATAAATCAAACATGCAGAATAATACAGTCAAAGAGGAACACTAGTTGAATTGGTTTTCAGTTTTCATATTTTCTTGTATACATTTCTCTGATTCAGCCTCCATGAACAACTTGGTACTGTTAATACATGAATTTTTTTTTTCTCTCACATCTTTATTGGCTGGACTGGTTTAAACTAAGCTGGAAACAATTATGATATAACTATGGTAACTGATTTTTCTAAATCTTAGAAATTACCCAGTCTATGAGTGTCAAGGTTTCATCATAACCTTTCAGTATGTCAAAATGTAACTTAGTCAGTTTAACAATGACACAACACATTGAAACAAGTAAGCCTATTTTTAACCCCACCACACACAAAATAAATTGTTCTAAAATAGAAACCTGAATGTCTTTCTGCATTAAAAATTATGTTTAAAAGTACACCTAAAAACATGCACAAATACTGTTATGACTTATAATAATAACAGAAAAAATTAAGTAATGTTACTAGTTATATTTGTCTCTGTTTAACCACACATGTACAGCTTATAGAACTAATAACAAAAACATACATTTCTGTGCATCTGGTTACACACAACAGCCTATAATCCTACTCTTCTCTAAAGCTACGTGATTAGTGAACTTTGCTAATCGATTAATCATCATGCTCATTAATTGATCAGATTTAACAAACTGATTATTATCACAATATTACTAGCAAACAAAACTTAATATGCTAAAAAATTAGGTTTTTGATACCCATAGCAAGCAGAGCACAGACAGCCCACTGTTATAAAACTAGCTACAAACTT